GGAATTCCGGGAATTCCCACCTGTTTGAGCAGGCTGCAGGCCAGCGTGAAGACGTCGAGCAGGGCGCAGTCGCGGAAGGACGAGGCCACCTTGCGGTGCTTGGTCAGCGGCTGCGACGTGTCCGCCTGGAAAAATCACCGGAATTCCGGGAAAATCCCAGGGAAAATCCCCGGGAAATCCCGGGAGTTCCAGGGAAAATCCCTGGGAAATCCCAGGGAAACCCCAGGGAAATGCTCGGGAAAATCCCCAGGGAAAACACAGGGAAATCCCGGGAATCCTGGAAAATCCCCGGGAATTACAGGGAAAATCCCCGGGAAATCCCAGGGAATCCTCGGAAATCCCCAGGGAATCACCAGGGAAATCCCCAGAAATCCTGGAAAATCCCCGGGAATTCCAGGGAAATTCAGGAATCCTGGGAAATGCCCAGGGAAATCCCAGGGAAATGCCAAGGAAATTCCAGGAAAATCCTAGGAAATCCCCAGGGAAATGTTCCATTTCCCAGGGAAATGCTCAGGAAAATCCCCAGGGAATTCCTGGAAAATCCCTGGGAAAATCCCCAGGGAAAATCCCAGGGAAAATCCCCGGGAATCCCAGGGAAACCCCGGGGAAATGCTCGGGAAAATCCCCAGGGAAAACACAGGGAAATCCCAGGAATCCTGGAAAATCCCCGGGAATTCCAGGGATGATCCCGGGAAATCCAGGGAAAATCCCCAGGAAACCCAGGGAAAATCCCAGGGAAAATCCCCGGGAATCCCAGGGAAAATCCCCGGGAATTCCAGGGAAAATCCCCGGGAATTCCAGGGAAATCCAACAGAAATCCTAGGGAAACCCTGGAAATGCTCAGGAAAATCACAGGGAATTCCAGGGAAACCCCAGGGAATCCTGGGAAATCCCGGGGAAAATCCCGGGGAAATCCTGGAAAATCCCCAGGGAAATCCCCAGAAAATGCCAAGGAAATTCCAGGGAAATCCTAGGAAATCCCCAGGAAATCCCCAGGAATTCCTGGAAAATCCCTGGGAAAATCCCCAGGGAATCCCAGGGAAATGCTCGGGAAAATCCCAGGGAATTCCCGGGAAATCCCAAGAAATACTGGAAAATGCCAGGGAAATCCTCAGGAAAATTCCAGGAAAATCCAGGGAAAATCCCAGGAAAATGCCAGGAAAAACCCTGGAAAATCCTCAGGAAAATCCCAGAAAAATACCAAGGAAATTCCAGGGAAATTCCAGAGGGAATTCCAGACAAAATTCCAGAAACTCCAAAATAATCCCAGAAATTCCAAAGGAAAATCCGGACATTCCAGAGGAATTCTGGAGGAAGTTCCAGAAAAAATTCCAGAAATTCCAAAATCATTCCAGAAATTCCAGAGGAAATTCCAGAGGAAATTCCAGAGGAATTCCGGAGCTGTTTAAAATGGCACAATTGGAAAATTGGGATTTTTCTCCCGGGATTTCAGCGGGGGCTGCCGCCCCCTCACTAATAACAACAATAATTACAATAATTAATCAATAATTAATTATCCTTGTTTTGTTTTGTTTTGTTTTTTTCCCTTCCCATCCCAAAAAACCCCGAAGGAAAATTTGGGAAAAGCCGGAAAATTCAACGAAACCCAAAATCCCCCCGGGACAGGAAATCCTCACCACCAAAAACCCCAAAAAAGCCCAAAACCCCCCCAAAAATCCCTAAAAAACCAAAAAACCCCCCCAAAAACCCAAAAAACCCTCAAAAAAACCCCAAAAAATCCCTGAAAAAAACCCCAAAAACCAAAAAAAACCAACCCAAAAAGTGCCTGAAAAAACCCTGAAAAATGCCCCAAAATCCCCAAAAAATTCCTAAAAAAACCCCCCAAACACCCCAAAAAACCCCCCAAAAATCCCCAAAAAACCTCAAAAAAAACCCCCCCAAAAATCCCCCAAAAAACCCCAAAACACTCCAAAAAAATCCCCAACAAAATCCCCCAAAATCCCCAAAAAAGCCCCAAAAATTTCCAAAAAACCCCCAAAGAACTCCAAAAAAACCCAAAAAATCCCCCCAAATCCCCCCAAAAATTCCAAAAAAATTCCAAGAAACCCAAAAAAACCCTCAAAAAATCCCCCCAAAAATTCCCCCCAACAGCCCCCGGAGGTCGAAATTACCGGAAAACTGAATCCCTGAATTTTGGGGGAAGGTGCAGAGCGGGAATTTGGGAATATCGGGAATTTGGGAGCGTGGGGAATTTGGGACCGTCGGGAATTTGGGAATATCGGGAATTTCGGACTGTGGGGAATTCGGGACTGTGGGGAATGTGGGACTGTGGGGAAATCCGGAATATCGGGAATTTGGGACCGTTGGGAATTTGGGAATATTGGGAATATCGGGACTTTGGGAATATCAGGACTTTGGGAATATCGGGAATTTGGGAATATCGGGACTGTGGGAATGTCGGGAATATCGGGACTTTGGGAATATCGGGACTTTGGGACTTTGGGAATATCGGGAATTTGGGACTTTGGGAATATCGGGACTTTGGGACTTTGGGACTTTGGGAATATCGGGAATTTGGGAATTGGGAACGCGGGGCCGACCTGGTTGACGTCGTTGGTGAGCTGGGAATTTGGGAATATTGGGAATTTGGGAATATCGGGACTGTGGGAATGTCGGGAATATCGGGAATTTGGGAATATCGGGAATTGGGAACGCGGGGCCGACCTGGTTGACGTCGTTGGTGAGCTGGGACTTTGGGAATATCGGGACTTTGGGAATATCGGGAATTTGGGAATTTGGGAATTGGGAACGCGGGGCCGACCTGGTTGACGTCGTTGGTGAACTGGGACTTTGGGAATATCGGGAATTTGGGAATATCGGGAATGTGGGAATTTGGGAATGTGGGAATTTGGGAATATCGGGAATTTGGGAATTTGGGAATTTGGGAATTGGGAACGCCGGGCTGACCTGGTTGACGTCGTTGGTGAGCTGGGAATTTGGGAATATCGGGACTTTGGGAATATCGGGACTTTGGGAATATCGGGACTTTGGGAATATCGGGACTTTGGGAATATCGGGACTTTGGGACTTTGGGAATATCGGGAATTTGGGAATTTGGGAATTGGGAACGCCGGGCAGACCTGGTTGACGTCGTTGGTGAGCTGGGACAGGATGCTGACGCCGATGATGCAGTGCTCCACGCTGTCCTGCCGCCGGCGCCGACGGAACGGCAATTCCCGCCGTTGGGGGATCCATGGAAAAGCGGGACGCGGGAGGAGATCGATCACAGACATTAATTCATTGATCAGGAAAAAGGGATTCGGGGAGTGCAGGGAGGGCGAGGCAAGAAAACGCGGGAAAATCCAAACAGGGAAAGGATGGAGATGAAAACTGGAGAATCTGGGAATCAATTCCCGACCCCGTAAAACAATTCCCTAATTCCCAAAAGAATTCCCTAATCCCTAAAATAATCCCCTAATTCCCAAAATAATTCCCTAATTCCCAAAAACAATTCCCTAATTCCCAAAATAATCCCCTAATTCCCAACACAATTCCCTAATTCCCAAAACAATTCCCTAATTCCCAAAAACAATTCCCTAATTCCCAAAATAATCCCCTAATTCCCAACACAATTCCCTAATTCCCAACAAAATTCCCTAATTCCCCAAATAATCCCCTAATTCCCAAAACAATTCCCTAATTCCCAACACAATTCCCTAATTCCCAAAAACAATTCCCCTAATTCCCAAAATAATTCCCTAATTCCCAACACAATTCCCTAATTCCCAACACAATTCCCTAATTCCCAACACAATTCCCTAATTCCCAAAAACAATTCCCTAATTCCCCAAATAATTCCCTAATTCCCAACACAATTTCCTAATTCCCCAAATAATTCCCTAATTCCCCAAAACAATTCCTTAATTCCCAAAATAATTCCCTAATTCCCAAAATAATCCCCTAATTCCCAAAAATAATTACCTAATTCCCCAAATAATTCCCTAATTCCCAAAACAATTCCCTAATTCCCAACACAATTCCCTAATTCCCAAAATAATCCCCTAATTCCCAAAAATAATTACCTAATTCCCAAAACAATTCCCTAATTCCCAACAACAATTCCTTAATTCCCAAAATAATTACCTAATTCCCAAAACAATCCCCTAATTCCCAAAACAATTCCCTAATTCCCAAATTCCAAAAATAGTCCCCTAATTACCAAAAATAATTCCCTAATTCCCAAAAACAATTCCCTAATTCCCAACACAATTCCCTAATTAATTCCCAAAAGAATTCCCTAATCCCAGAACAGAATTCCTTAATGCCCTAAAAAATTCCCAGTTCCCAAAAACAATTCCCTGATCCCGGAACAATTCCCTGATCCCGGAACAATTCCCAAATCCCGGAACAATTCCCAAATCCTGGAACAATTTTGGGTGGATTTTGGTCAGATTTGGGCAGAGTTTGGGCAGATTTTGGGCGGATCTGGGAGGATTTTGGGTGGATTTTCGGGATTTTGGTCGGATTTTGGGGATTTTGGTCAGATTTTGGATTTTTGGGGATTTTGGTCGGATTTTTGGGGATTTTGGTGGGATTTTGGGGATTTTGGTCGGATTTTGGTCAGATTTTGGATTTTTTGGGATTTTGGTGGGATTTCGGTCGGATTTTGGGGATTTTGTTGGGATTTAGTTGGGATTGTGGGGGATTTTGGTCAGATTTTTGGGGATTTTGTTGGGATTTTGGGGATTTTGTTGGGATTTTTGGGGATTTTGGGGATTTAGTTGGGATTTTGTTGGGATTGTGGGGATTTTGTTGGGATTGTGGGGATTTTGGTCAGATTTGTTGGGATTTAGTTGTGATTTTGTTTGGATTTTGGGGATTTCGTTGGGATTTTGTTGGGACTTTTGGGGATTTTGTTAGGATTTTTGGGGATTTTGTTTGGATTTTGTGGATTTTGTTGGGATTTTGTTGGGATTTTGTTGGGATTGTGGGTATTTTGGGGATTTTGTTGGGATTTTGTTGGGATTTTGGTCAGATTTTTGTGGATTTCGTTGGGATTTCGTTGGGATTTTGGGTATTTTGGGTATTTAGTTGGGATTTTTGGGGATTTCGTTGGGATTTCGTTGGGATTTCGTTGGGAATTTGGGTATTTAGTTGGGATTTCGTTGGGATTTTGTGAATTTCGTTGGTATTTCGTGTGGATTTCGTTGGGAATTTGGGTATTTTGGGTATTTAGTTGGGATTTCGTTGGGATTTTGTTTGGATTTTGGGGATTTCTTTGGGAATTTGGGTATTTAGTTGGGATTTCGTTGGGATTTCGTTTGGATTTTGGGGATTTCTTTGGGAATTTGGGTATTTTGGGGATCCCGGGGAGCAGGCCGACCTGCAGGAAGCGCGTGACGTCGCTGATGACGTTCCTGAAGACGAACTCGTCCTTCTGGCACTCGAACCAGCCCAGCTTGGTGATGCGCGCGTAGAGCTGGATCAGCGCCTGCGTCACGAACGCCGCCAGCTTGGGCCGCGTGGCCAGGTAGTTCAGCACGTAATTCCCTGCAAAAACGGGAAAAAATATGGGAAAAATGGGAAAGGTGGAGCTGGGGAGGAGACCAGGGAGTTCAGCACGGAATTCCCTGGAAAAACGGGAAAAATGGGAAAAAACACGGGGAAAATGGAGCTGGGGGGGAGCCCGGGGAGTTCAGCACGTAATTCCCTGGAAAAACACACGGAAAAATGGGAAAAAACACGGGGAAAATGGAGCTGGGGGGGAGCCCGGGGAGCTCAGCACGTAATTCCCTGGAAAAACGGGAAAAAATGGGAAAAAACATGGGAAAAATGGAGCTGGGGGGGAGCCCAGGGAGTTCAGCACGTAATTCCCTGGAAAAACGGGAAAAATGGGAAAAAACATGGGGAAAAATGGAGCTGGGGGGGAGCCCGGGGAGCTCAGCACGTAATTCCCTGGAAAAATGGGAAAAAATGGGAAAAAACACGGGGAAAATGGAGCTGGGGGGGAGCCCAGGGAGTTCAGCACGGAATTCCCTGGAAAAACGGGAAAAAATGGGAAAAAACACGGGGAAAATGGAGCTGGGGGGGAGCCCGGGGAGCTCAGCACGTAATTCCCTGGAAAAATGGGAAAAAAATATGGGAAAAATGGGAAAGGTGGAGCTGGGGGAAAAGACCAGGGAGTTCAGCACGGAATTCCCTGGAAAAATGGGAAAAAATATGGGAAAAATGGAGCTGGGGGGCAGCCCAGGGAGTTCAGCACAGAATTCCCTGGAAAAACGGGAAAAATGGGAAAAAAATGGGAAAGGTGGAGCTGGGGAAAAGACCAGGGAGTTCAGCACGTAATTCCCTGGAAAAACGGGAAAAAAATATGGGAAAGGTGGAGTTGGGGGGGAGCCCGGGGAGTTCAGCACGGAATTCCCTGGAAAAATGGGGAAAAAAACGGGAAAAATGGGAAAGGTGGAGCTGGGGAGGAGACCAGGGAGTTCAGCACGGAATTCCCTGGAAAAACGGGAAAAAATATGGGAAAAATGGGAAAGGTGGAGCTGGGGGAAAGACCAGGGAGTTCAGCACGGAATTCCCTGGAAAAACGGGAAAAAAACGGGAAGAAATGGGAAAGGTGGAGCTGGGGGGAAAGCTCAGCCCCATGGGAATGACTTTGGGCACAGAATTCCCTGGAAAACTGGGGAAAACTGGGAAAAGGTGGAGTTCCAGGTAAAATCCCGCCCCAAAAATCCCAGGAAAACCCCCGGAATTCCCAGGAAAATCCCAAAAAAACCCCAAGAAATTCCCATGAAATCCCAGGAAAATCCCACCGAACCCCACAGAATCTCAGAAAAAGCCACGGAATTCCCAGGAAAATCCCCCAAAATCCCAGGAAAGCCCCAGAATTCCCAGAACCTCCCCAGAATTCCCAGAAGCCCCCCAGAATTCCCAGGAAAACCCACGGATTTTTCAGGAGAACCCCAAAGAAATCCCAGGAAAATCCCCCAAAACCCCAGGGAATCCCAGGAAATCCCAAGGATTTTTTAGGAAAATCCCAAGAAATTCCCAGGAAACTCCAAGGAATTCCCAGGAAAACCCCATGGAAATTACAGGAAAACCCCTTGAAATTCCCAGGAAAACCCCAAGAAATCCCAGGAAAATCCCAAAAAACCCACAAGGAATTCCCAGAACCCCCCGGAATTCTGAGGAAAACCCCATGGAATTTCAGGAAAACCTCAAGAAATTCCCAGGAAATCTCCTGGAAATTGCAGGAAAATCCCAAAAAACCCCAAGGAATCCCAGGGAAACCCATGGAAATTACAGGAAATCCCAGAGATTTTCCAGGAAAAGCCCATGGAAATTGCAGGAAAATCCCCCCAGAATTCCCAAGAAAACCCCAAAAAACCCTCAAATAATTCCCATGAAATCTGCAGGAATCCCAGGAAATCCCAGGGAATTGCAGGAAATGCCCCCAAAATTCCCAGGAAAACCCCAAGGAATCCCAGGAAAACCCCAAGGAATCCCAGGAAAACCCCATGGAATCTCAGGAAACCCCATGGAATTACTGGAAATCCCAAGAAAATCCCAGGAAATCCACCTGAAATTCCCAGGAAAACCCCAAGGAATCCCAGGAAAACCCAAGAAAATCCCAAAAAACCCCAAGGAATCCCAGGAAAACCCCAAGGAATCCCAGGGAAACCCCATGGAATTTCAGGATAACCCCAAGAAATGCCCCGGAAATCCCAGGAAAATCCCAAAAAACCCCAAGGAATCCCAGGAAAACCCCATGGAATTACTGGAAATCCCAAGAAAATCCCAGGAAATCCCCCTGAAATTCCCAGGAAAACCCCATGGAATCTCAGGATAACCCCATGGAATTTCAGGAAACCCCATGGAAATTCAGGAAAACCCCATGGAAACCCGAAGGAATCCCAGGAAACCCCATGGAATCCCAGGATAACCTCATGGAAATTCAGGAAAACCCCAAGGAATCCCAGGAAAACCCCAGGGAATGCCAGGATAACCCCATGGAATTTCAGGATAACCCCATGGAATTTCAGGATAACCCCATGGAATTTCAGGATAACCCCATGGAATCCCAGGATAACCCCATGGAAATTCAGGATAACCCCATGGAATCCCAGGAAAGCCCCAGGGAATCCCAGGAAAAGGCAGGGAACGGCGGGAGGTGCCGGGATCAGGAATTGCGGGCGCACTCACGGATGTCGAGGCGCTGCTCCAGGGGCAGCGCGTTGGAGCTGCGCGACACCAGCTTGGTCAGACACGTGGCGGCCAGGAGCTGCGAGTACGAGGACTGCAACACGGAGAACACGGGATAAACATGGGAGAACACGGGACAACACGGGATAAACACGGGGGAACACGGGATAACACGGGGGAACACGGGATAAACATGGGAGAACACGGGGGAACACAGGATAAACACGGGGGAACACAGGACAGCACGGGATAACACGGGATCAACACGGGACAACACGGGATAAACATGGGATAACACGGGACAACACGGGATAACACGGGATAAACACGGGGGAACACGGGACAACACGGGGGAACATGGGAAAACACGGGAAAACACGGGACGGACACGGGATAAACACGGGATAAACACGGGACAACACGGGAAAACACGGCACGGACACAGGACAACACGGGATAACACATCATGACACGGCACAGACACGGGATGGACACAGGAAAACACGAGACAGCACAGGATAAACATGGGACAGCACAGCACAGACACGGGACAGACAAGGGATGGACACGGGACAACATGGGGGAACACGGGACAGACACGGGAAAACACGGGAAAACACGGGAAAACACGGGACAACACAGGGGAACACGGGACAGCACGGGACGGACACAGTACGGACACGGGACAACACGGGGGAACACAGGACAGACATGGCACGGACACGGGATGGACACGGGATAAACACGGGACAACATGGAGGAACACAGGACGGACACGGGACAACACAAGACAACATGGGACAGACACAGGATGGACACGGGACAACACAGGATGGACACGGGACGGACACGGGATGGACACGGGAGAACACGGGAGAAACACAGGATGGACGGAGGAACACAGGAAAACACGGGATGGACACGGGGCAGACACGGGACAACACAGGACGGACACAGGATGGACACAGGAGAAACACGGGATGGACACGGGAAAAACGTGAGAACACGGGAGAAACATGGGAGAACACGGGATAAACATGGGAGAACATGGAAAACATGGGAGAACACAGGAGAACACGGGAAAAACGTGAGAACATGGGAGAAACACGGGAGAAACGTGAGAACATGGAAAAACATGTGAGAACATGTGAGAACACGGGATAAACATGGGAAAACACGGGAAAACACGGGATAAATGGTGGGAAAAGGGGAAAAACAGAAAAAGGGGGAAATGGGAAAAACGGGAAAAAATTCCCAAAAGAAGAAACTGGAATGCTGCATGGAAGGGGCGGGGAGGAAATTCCAGAAATTCCAGGAGTGGGAATTTTGGGGGATTGTGGGGAATTTCCGGGATGTGGAATTCCAGGATTTTGGGGATTTTTTTGGGAATTTCTGGGATGTAAAATTCCAGGATTTTAGGGGATTTTTGGAATGGGGAATTCCAGGATTTTTGGGGATTTCTGGGATGAGGATTTTGGGGAATTTTGGGGATATAAAAATCCTGGACTTTGGGGAAATTTGGGATACAGAATTCCATGATTTTGGGGAATTTTCTGGCATATGGAAATCCTGGATTTTGGGGACATTTTGGGATCTAGAATTCGATGATTTTGGGGAATTTTTGGGGAATTTTTGGGGGAATTTTTGGGATGTGGAATTCCATGATTTTAGGGAATGTCTGGGGAATGTGTGAGGATTTTTTGGGAATATTTGGGATGTGGAATCCCATGATTTTGGGGGATTTCTGGGATGTGGAATCCCATGATTTTGAGGAATTTTCGGGGATATGGAAATCCTGGATTTTGGGGACATTTTGGGATCTAGAATTCCACGATTTTGGGGAATTTTTGGGGAATTTGGGGGATGTGGAATTCCCTGATTTTAGGGAATGCTTGAGGATTTTTTGGGAATATTTGGGCTGTGGAATTCCGTGATTTTTGGGAATATTTGGGAGGGGTACTGAAGTAAGTGGCACTTGCTCAGGCACTCGGGGCATGGAATTCCAGGACTCTGGGGAATGTTTTTGGGGAATGTTTTGGGAATATTCTGGGAATATTTTGGAATATTTTTAGGAATATTTGGGAATATTTTGGGAATATTTTGGGATGTTTACTCACGCTGCCGCGCTCGAGCAGCAGCTGGCACTTGCTGAGGCACTCGGGGCCGTTGGTG